ACCCAGAAATCCCAAATGACTGTAGGGAGGGGGTGCATTCTATCACTGAACCCCCAACGCACCACATTTCAGACATTTATTTTACGGCAAAATACACGTCGTTATATATTACGATAAAATAATAAATATTAGAATGCACACAAATTGAAAGGAAAATGATGCTACAACTAAGCCCATTTTCTAGTGCAACAGAAGTAAGTGGAAATAGCTCAGACTATGGCAAAATGTTACATTCCCCTTTTTACATCCTTACAGTATCATATGTTGTTTGTTTTTTTCAGCTGAAAGGATAAAACCCATTCTTGATGTGTTTTTTTCCTTTTTTCATCTTTTTCGTTTCGTTTTTTTGGTTTCACTTTATTTTTCTGCTAAAAGTTCCAAGTTTAGTAACACCTAGTAGATTAATGTCAGACAGAGTGATTGCGTCACAATTCTAGAAAGACTTCCTACCTTTGATTACAATTAATCAACTAACTAGCTAAGTAACTAACTAAATATCGAAGAAGAGAGAGAGAGATTCAATTAGTATTTTCTAATTCAACCTAATAGCCCTGATAAATTGTAATGTAATTGAAAATTGTTTAAAAGTACAAACTATAAAGTAGTTAATAGCATCAACCTTTGTACAATAATTGACAGGGTATTTTATTTAGTCTATCTAATTCATATTCTGGCCTATTTTAGTATGCATACTGACTGACTGACTAACTAAATTTGTAGCGTTGAACTTTGCTCAGAAGTGAAGCTCTTCGAGTGGCTATACTCCATATATCACATTAAAACAGAGAGAGGAAAAATGAATGGAAATGCACAGTAGAAAGAATGATTCAACACACGGAAAACAAATAAATATCGAATAGACCTAAGAGGTTATATAGAGAGTAAATACACCTGCCTCAATGAGTACGACCTTTAGCCTAATGACCAACACCAAAAATATGGTAGAGATGTGTGGATGACACTTTCACAGTGTTAACAAAACAGAACATATCTCTAGCTTCTTGACACACATATAAACTCACTAGTAGAGGGAATAAAATTCACATTTGAATCGGAAAATGAACAAGGAGAATTAGCTATGTTAGATTGTAAAATAAAACGAATAGAAGAAGGTAAACCGCACACTAGTGTGTACAAAAAACCAACCCATTCTAATAGATATTTAGACTTTAATTCATCTCATCCATTAACTGTTAAGGCAGGCTTAGTTAAGTGTTTAACAAACCGAGCAGTAGCACTAAGTAGCACAAGAAAAGATCTAAATGATGAAATATAACAGAAAGAAGAGGCGTTGGTGTTAAATAACTATACTTTAAAATTCATTAGGAAGATTGAAAAAGGGCAAAATAAAAATAATTGTGAAACTAGTGGTGATAACATAAATAAGAGAGAATATAAGTTATCTACTGTTATACCATATAAGGAGGGGACATTTGAGACCATACGTAGGATTCCTAATAAAGCAGGGATTAGAGTGGCATTCAAACCTACAAGCTCACTTAGAGATAAACTCTGTAGGCTAAAAGACCCGGTGGACCCAATTAAACAAAATAATATAATTTACAAAATACCCTACAATGACTGTGAGGTAAACTATATAGGTCAAACTAGTAGATCGGGAGTAATCAGATTGTCGGAACATAAGAATTTAGCTAACGTAAGAATGGTTGACCTCGAAAAGATAAGTAATTTAGTGTAAAAAGCTCAGCAATTGCACTGCATGCATTAACACACAACCACACAATATAGTGGGAAAGGGGTTAAGATTCTAAGAAGTAATCTATGTAGGTGGAGAGAGAGAGATTGATTACTGAGTCCTGGTTCATTGAGTCTACACCCGACACATGCAAAAGAAATGACTCAATGCAAATACCAGAAATATGGAAGATATTATTACCGCCGGTCAAATCAGAAGAGGATAATAAATAATCTCAAAATTCTATTTCAATTCAAGCACATCACAACATTCTAACAAGTTACTTATTATGACTATAAAAACACTCGTTTTATTTCCCATCTGATTGTAATTGATCAATAACACTCATATTATTATTTCTGAATGTACATTATCCCATATTGATTTTTATTCAAATATCTGGTCAATTCCACACGTATATAAATGAAGGAAAAAGTTGTGTGAGTAACTTGATATGATTATGAGTGGCAATAATTTGTGCTCGAAACGTTATCAGTTAATATTACTGTGTAACACTGTGTGACTTATCAAAATAAAATTTTATCCATAATGGAGTTATACTCTACCACAGTGCCCAAGTTTTATACTTATATCACTAATGACCAACGGTCTTTAACCGTTAGTTCTTAGCGTACCGAGGACTCCTAACAGGCAGGTTACATCTCAATGCTTAACTCAGATCAACAGTCACAGACTTCATGCATGGATAGAGACTTATAACTTGATCTCTCCAAACTTTTTTCTGATCTGATCTATTTCAAATAAGAAGGAGGTGGCTTAAGTCGATACAACTTTACCACTTCATGGGTTGACTTCCCTTCCTTACAGTTAACACTCTATGCCTCTAATCTAAAACAGGTACATATTCCTCCTATGTGTGTCAAGCACTCATCTTTGTGACCTTTGCAGTTAAACTGATGGTTTCGAGGCTGGACTAGTAATCACACTATCTAGTTAGTGAATTCTTGTATAATATAGTGATAATAAGCCCTAGAACCTTCAATACTTGGTTGATCAAAGAATTTGAATTACTGTTCCAAGAATAATTTGTCAAATTGTGTAAATCTAAATTCAGTAACACAACGTGAATTGATTTTTTTCTCACATTCCTTTTCAATTTTGTTTATAAAGTACTTTATAGGTCAGGGTATCAGTAAAACTCATACGATGGGCAGTTAGTCAGTCACGCCACATTCTAACTTGCACATGAGACTAAGAGCTTTAGACAGAAGTCATTAGAAACCTGTAGTTATGAACCCGTAATACGTTTCATCTCCGATGAATCAACAATGTTGGAAATTTCAAAGCGAGACTCAAAAATACATCACTAATTATCGATCCTTGAATAAACTTTGTCAATTCGTGATGGACGCCACACTCACATATCAGTTACTTTACATTACCAAGAAGCTGATTCTAAGTGATTAAATGAACTGAGAGATTCTTCAGAGATTCTAAAACTCATTCAAAAGAAGCTTTATAAGAAATTGTTAACTAAACTTTATCAAAAAGTTATAAATAAAGATACCTAAATTGTCCCTTGAACCAATAGAATTCAATGGATCTAATCGTAGAAAAGCTGATTTTAACTACACTACCTCAGCAGTGGTATTAGAGACTTTAAAGCTATGAAACTCTTATTTTTGTTTCAGAGATGGTGTCATACTTTTACAGACTTCCATACAAAACACTAATTATTAAATTTAAAGTGTTGGCTTGCGAGGATTAAATTAGTTCAAATTTAGATCATGGATTGTGATCAGCTAAACAAACATTGAAAAACTATGGGACTCTTCAAGCGTACAAACTCTTTCCAAAGATCGAACTCAGACCTTTGAAGGGCCAGTCTACTGACCATTCATCCAGCTACTGTGATAGAACCCAATGGCATATGAATTCTAACTTTTGCTAGTTTGTGATATACAGAAAAACCGCTAGTCTATTTGTCTTCACACTCAACTTGGTGGACGCTCCTGGTCAATGGTTACATCTCCGGATGCGCTCATTGGGTGCATACTGCTGAAGAGCACCGAACTGGAACGAAAATGACGTCCACTACACCAGTACCACTTATTAATGGTTCTCTAACTGTCCGTAAATATTCAACATTAAAAACTATTTTATTTCAAGGTGAAGTCTTGTTTTCACATAACTAATGTGAATATTTCAGTAATACTGTTTATATTATCTTTCTAAAGTATTCTCTGTTAATACATCCATGACTTACATACTATTTATATAATATTTACTTTAAAAATATTCATATAGGTGTTTCTCTCGAATTTGAACAAAAAGAGTATAAAACAGAATTTATCAGTAACGGACATCAGTTGGATCAAAATTCGATTAGTAGATGCATGGGAATCAAATCCAAAGAGATAAATACTGGATTGGCTGGAGGATTTCATTATGAGCTGACATCAGTTAGAGAACCACTGGAAAACCTGTAGAGAGTGCTGGACAGCTGTTTCGTCAGCCTAGTTTGGGACTCTTCATCAGTACGCACCCACCACCACGGTTCGAACCCAGGACCTTCTGGCTACAAGGCGGTTTAGCTTGTACACCATTAGGCCACTGGGACCTGATCCAATGGCCAGTCCATGAATTCCAACTTCTGCCAATTCATGACATAGCGCAACCACTTCGCAATGTCTTCTTCGATGAGTTACTGCCACAAACACTTACTGGTTTTTCAGCAGCTGTGTTGTGTGAAGTTCTAGTAAGAAGGCATGACCAAGAGTGTCCAAAAAGCTGGGTAGTAGGAAAAATCCTCGCACTATAAATATCACGAGTTGTCAGAATTTAGAATTCATGAACCGGCCATTAGTTTCTGTCTCTATGGCTGGATAATCGTTGAGCACGCTTCATAAACCCAAGATCCTGAGTTCGATTCCCAATGGGGTCATGATAGGTAACCGCCGAACATTCGTAAAAACCAGAACAAAACAGCTGTTCAGCACTTCCTAGTATTCGGTAGTTCTCTATCTGATTTCACTCCATGCATGAGCTAATCAAATCTATGCAAAGCAGCATTTGAAAATACTTGTGTATCACCTGAATAATAATTTTATCTAAGTTGATAGCACCACTGTCAATGATACTTAAGTAGTGTAGAATACTTTTTTTGTTTGTAAAATCAAAACAAACAGATCAAGTTCATGTGACTTAATGATGTGATTTACTTTACATATATATAATAAACAAGTAATGATAAAGAAAAAAAATTTTTGATCAGATAACCTAAGTGTAGATTTATTTACATAGTATACAGTATCACTTATTGATTATACATGTGCACACTTACAATTCATTGGATCCAATGGATTCACTTGACATTGACGAAAATCATAATTCATATTATAGGCTTTCTGGGCTAATTCAATACCAGCTTGACGTAGTTCTGATGTGATTTGTTTACCTGTCCATAAATACATTTCAGAGCCAAAATCGAAAACAAATGCCTATCAGAGAAAAGTAAAATAAAGAAAATAAAGGAATTCAAGTATTGGTTTGTAGGGATTTGATTGATTGACTGATTACAGGATTTCATCATGAGCTGACATCAGTTAGAGAGCCATTGGAAAATCTGCAGAGAGTACTGGACAGCTGTTTCGTCCTAGTTTGGGACTCTTCAGAAGTGGGTGAGTGTGTACTGTGAAGAGCCCCCAACTAGGCTGACGAAACAGTTGTCCAATACTCCCAGGTTTTCCAATGGCTCTCTAACCAATGTCTGCGAATGATGAAATCCTGTAACCAAATAAAGAAATGTTCTCTCTTAAAGGTAACTATAAAATGAGGTTAACGTGACAAAGTCTGATTCCTGTACTTACGCCAACACCCAACAAGTATCTATCCAAAACAGTATTAAGGATTTAGTTTAGCAGCACGCCATACACCCTATCAACACTTTTTAGTGCCCTTTGCAATGTAACAAAGTCGTTTTTTAATTAGTCCAATATTGACGAAGCGGGAATAACAAAGAAGAACTGGCAAAATGCGAGATACATAACAAACCGTAAAATTAGAAGTTAAGTGATACCAGAGTGTCTTACCTTCCCCTGATGTAGAATGTTTGACGAAATATTTCACTGTAAATCAACAGGATATGTGAAGACTAGGAAAGATCAGAGAAAAGACTTGATCCAAGATACTTAACACTTGACTTAGTTTGTATTTTACTCCCTTGTATTGATACAAGAATCATGAGAATGAACAGGTCGATGTAAATCACGCTTGTGTCTGAATGTGAAATTAACAGTCTAACTATCTGGAAAGATTTAGTTTAAGACCATTTGACAAGAACCACTGGATAATTTTTAATACAAAAATTGTTCATTTTGGAGCAATCTGATCAGAAGGTAACAGGCATGGAAGTAGTCAGATCATTAGCGTGCTTAACAAAATTGTCTTCATCAGGATATGGCAGTTCGTGTTAAGAGGAAGGATATCACCTTGAAGGACACAGACTTGGAAAAACCAAAGCAGCGAAAAAATGTTTCTCTGTATACATTGTACTGCTTTCTATCAGAAAAGCACTCAATTTGTGATTCAGCGAGAATATGTAACAAAAAAGAGACTTAGGTATTTACAGCCACCGGAGCGGATATGTACTCCAGGAAATCCCATTCCTTAACCAGTGGTGCCTAATAGGATTAACTTCAAAAATATGTGTATCGCATATTTTACGCACATTGTTAAAAGGACATGATATTCGTTCAGAAATAAGTTGGTATAAAATCCTATAAAGTAGCAATATTGTGTCAAGTTTGTAGGCCATACTTTAAGCGATTTTGACTGATGATATGAAGTCATTTGCATCTGCTCAAGCTCACTCGTACACATTGGCTTAAACTCGATACACCATATTTTGCAGCATTCACAATCTTAAAAGATGAATTCCTATTGTAAAGTGGTTTTGATGTCTTGCTATTGCAAGTGTCAGCACTTTATTTTATTGAACTTTCATTCTGATAGTCACGTGACAATCTGAAAGAAACTTTATCTAGTGTCATTGTAATCAGTACTTGTAGAGTTCCTGATTAATCCGTTTCCCCTGCATAAAGATAGTATCATTGTATCTGAGGCAAAGGCTCGTTTAGCGCTGGTGAACGTCTGTAATCATTGTTGTAAACATGATGGCCGTCAATCAGTCAAAGGCCGCGTGTAGTGCACAGCTGTGAGACGTGGCTTTTGAAAATGGAAGATACAAAGAGGCTAGCGGACTGCAGCTGTAGGTATTTGTATTCTGTCGCACGTATTAGGTGGTATAATGGGATGAATAATATTGAGGTTTGAGGTACAGTGTTAGATCAGAGGAACTCAATCGAAAAAGCTGAGAAACCGCATCAACTGTAATAACTAGGCCACGTAAGACGCATCTCGAACTATCACCTTCCTTCTCAAGTAATGTTAACTGATATAGGTTAAGGTCAGAAAAGAGTAAGGTGAGATCAAATCAAAACACGCTGTGAGTCCATGAAGTCTTTGATTTTTGATTCAAGTCAAGTAAGTAGATGTAAACTGGCTGATAGACGTTCTCGAGACTCTAATATCCAATCGTTGGAGAATGTTGCCAATGTGGATTAAAATGTTTCCCCTTTACACAGATATCTCCAGTCTTTGTAATCTCCTAAATCGACTAAGTTCACATGTTTCACCATGTAATTATCCCTTCTCCCCAACATTTCCGTTCATTATATCTCCATGAATTTCCTTCATTTTTTAAAATTTCCCTACCCTTATGCATTTGCTTTTAGGATGTGTGGCAATTTCGAACTGCTGTACTTTTACGCAAAGCTTTACATTGAAAAAATCAGTTCAATTCATTTGTGAAAAAAGTATACAGTCTGTTTCAGTTAAAACACATACAACTGTAATCGTCTGTAATCACGTGAAACAAAGTAAGACAATATTGTATCATCTGTCGATAGATGGATACTAGTGATCGTATTTAGTCTAACTGCCTATTTATTACATAAGTGTTCAGTTTATCTAACCAGATAAAGTGTGCAACAATGTTAACCTCATAGCATGTATCTTTCACTGATTTGTATATTGCTATTAAACTGTTTATAACGTGTGTCACGTGAAGTACAAGGTTGTTTGCCACTGATAATATAATAATAACGCAGTTGAAAGAGAAGAGAAATTCAAACAGATTTATCTGACCTTGTTTCCATTTTATTTGTATAACACATTGAATCTTAGAAAAGTACAACTATTTCAAAATCAAAATTTCTAAAAAAAATACACAATTAATTTTTGGCTTTTGATTAAAGCAGAAGATAAATTTGTTGAGTGTTGTGAATCAAATATACTACTGATTGATTGAAGTAAGTAGTTAGATATTTGTAACATCAATCTTTAGTACTCTCTGGTTAACCAGATCAACGTGATCTAAACGCTGGATAGACATTTCGCTTGTTTAGAGATGATCTCATCAGAAGATGAACTCGGTTTGATTAAGCGAAGAAATGGTTAGCCTCGTTAGGAGCACCACCTGAACGTGTTTTATTGTTGTTGTTGGTGAACAGTGTTCCAGTTTAGTCAATAGTATTGTAACGACAGGAGATAAGGGCCAGGCAACAGACCGTTTATTGAAAAAATCAAGAGATTTTTATCGATTTTTACGTACATTATTATTGGCGTTATTGTTAGCAGAGAAACAACGTCTTCTGATTGGTTGTTTTCATGCTAAAGGTTGTTCTGTACTGTTTGTGACCGTTTCTTAGAAAGTTAAGCCATATACCTACGAATCGTACTTGCACACGTTTCTTTCTCTCGCTTACGCCAGTTAATAAGACAGCTCCCACTTTTCTAACAACTTCAAACACTGTTTTAGCTTTACCTTTGCTACTAACATGCCAATGTATTGTTGTAATAATGAACTGTGGTTTCCTCAATCTATGTAGAATTCTATTTATTGATAATGTACTAACTGGATGCAATACTGTAGTACAAATGCTGAGAATTCCATTCTGTATCACATGTACTGTTTTGGAATAAAGCATATTATTATTATTATTATTAAGTCTTCTGTGATTGATTGGTGAGTTCCTCAAGTTTAAGCTTTGTTATTGTTTTTTTCTCATGACCCCGATTCGGGACGTGAACATTGATGTAAATTGTTGTCTACAATTTTGGCTTGCAGACAGCTCTCACCACAGTATTACAACAGCTTCAGTTATATGTAGAAGACCAAATTCTGGCTAACACTAATTGAGCGAACTGATATAGCGTTAAATCAGATCCACAGTTTGCAAATTAAGTTACGATTATAACAATTTTGACATAGTTTGTGATGAAATTCTATCAGAAATTCCCTCGATAAGCAAATGTAGTCTATGCTTCTCTGCTAAATGACAAAACGATTTTATAGTCATATCGTTCAATTCAGAAGAGATTTCACATTCTACTGTAACAAACACATTCAAATGATTGATTATAAGATTGTGGTGAAAAGTTCATAATGAAATAACCAATATGTGAAATGAAACAGGTGGAGGTATATATTAAGTAAAGTGATAATATCAGTAATACTAAGTCAGAATAGTGTAAATGGAAAAGTTGACAGTATTGAAAGAAAAACCCATATAAAACTGTTGGGACGAAGATAGGATCGCAGTGGGATCAACTCTTGGCCCATTGCTAGCAGACTGCTTCATGGCAAACCCCGAGAATGGCCCACTCAAATCAACTATTGATTATTTTCAGTTGTATGCTAGATATGTGGACGACATCTTTACTGTCTGTGAGGACGCTCACGATCTTAATTAGTTACTACAAATATTCAACAACTGCCATTCAGCTACAATGTTTACTCTTGAAATAGAAAACGGATCTAAAATTCCTTTTCTTGGTGTTGAACTTACAAAGAGAGCTAAAGGAACTTTAAGAAGGTTTACCCATGGGAAACCCAAATGGAATGGCCTATTGACAAGCTTCTACAGCTGGGTACTAATCAGTCGGAAAAGAAACCTAATTAGACCTCTTGCCACTCGCGTCCCCACGCATCTGCTGCTCTGATACCCTAGAAGAAGAACTACACTTCCTGAAAGAAATCTTCATACAAAACGGATATCCATGAAGATTCACAGACAAAAACACCAGACAGAAAACCCAAAATCAAGAGACGCCATCCGTGCCAAACAGATACTTTATATGAGCCTTGACTTCAGAGGTGACCTACTCAGTGATGTCCTTCAGAGGAGAATCTCCACTCCTCGAAGAAGAACTTTCTTTGCGGCAACACTGAGACTAGTGTTCTTCAGTCAAACACTGATCTACAGAAGCCCAAAGGACAAGATCCTAAACCTGACCACATCTTTGTGTATATATCAGTTCACCTGTTGTTGTGGAGTCAGGTACATCGGTTGTTCCATGTACATCCTGTCAAAAAAAGTCAAAGAACACTATCCAGCGTGGCTGCAGAAAAGAAGTAGTGGCTCTGTAAGTCACCACTGATCATTCCATCTCAACAAACGTCTCCTGCTTCAAAGTAATCTACAAAGTGAAGAACAACCTGTCAAAGAAAATATGTTTCCGTCTTCTTTGCATCTTAGAACCCCTAGTCATTCAGTTAGAAGAACCAAAACTATGCATACAAATGGAAATTATTCAGCCACTTCTACTATCATGGTAACAACTCTGTTGATTTGACTAAACTTTTACTTGTTTGGTTTTTTTTCTAACTACTTAAAACTTACGTAATTCAGTATTTTGTTTTCATGTTCACCCTGAGCACAACTCTTTCATCAAACTACTCATATTATTAAGTAACTTTTCTTTAACAATCGTTTGTGACAACTCATCACTTTTGTTACTACCCTCTTATATCAACATCCAATTCCTCTGAATGCTTTTCGTATTACGTAACCACCAAAAACTTACTGTTTTTTCGTTAGAAAAATTTGTATACAAACACATAAAAAACAAACACATGTTTGCGATTGTACAGCTAGAAAAGACTCTTCGCTGAACTAATGGTCTTCTCTCTACTAATTTTCGAATACGAACTTTTCATGAGGATAAAATGAGACGAAAATATTATTAAACTCAGGAAAAGGAAAAGAGATGAGAGCAGTCGGAACTCTTAGAGGGGAAATTTTAATCCGAGTTCGGTTAAGACATGAACAACGCCTGAACGTGTTCTTCAGCTATAATGTCAGAGACGTAGGCGAACTGTGCGTGTTAATGACTATGGAATGCGGTATGTAACCTTGAAGGTTATGCCAGAATCATTATAACATTTTTTATCTGCCCACTGTGATATAACTGAACGTTTTATACATTTAATTCCACCCTTACTAAACCAGACTGGTAAATTTTCACAGGTTCATAGTCGAACCTGTTTTCATTCATACTATTCTGACTTAATGTTAGTGATATTATCTCTTTTCCCCATCATTTTATTACGTAACCAACCCGCTAACCGCGATAATCCCATACAGTTTAGTTGTGGTAGTAAGATATAATTCTCTAAGCACTTTAGTTTTTAAAGAGTAAGATGTTTTGATTACAATGAATTGATGGGATGTAAATAGTAAAATGTAATGTTCAAGTATTGATTTTTATGGGGATTTTGTTTGATTGGTTGGAGGATTTCATCATAAGCTGACATCAGTTAGAGAACCATTGGGATTCGATCTGATGCTCACCAGTGACTGGCCCAATTCAGGTAGTTACCTGAGGTTCTAGTGGGAAGCCTTGACCAGTAGGGTATGGCAGGTTGTAGGCGAGGCAGTAACTCATCAAAGAAGACATTGCGAAGTAGTCGCGCTATGTTATTAATTAGTAGAAGTTAGAATTCATGGAATGGCCGTTCGATCGGGTCCCAGTGGCTTAATGGTCTATGAGCTAGCTCGCCTTGTAACCAAAAAGTCTTGAGTTTGAACCCAACAGTGTGGGTGCATACTGATGAAGAGTCCAAACTAGGCTGGTGAAACAGCTGTCCAGTACTTTTAGGTGGTTTTCCAATGGTTCTCCAACCGATGTCAGCTCATAATGAAATCCTCCAACCAATAAAACTTAATGTATTGTCTGTTGGTATCTCAGATTCGAGGAACACTTTAAAGACTTGCCATACTTGACAGAAGGCTACTTCCTGGCATTGAGAGAAAAATAGCACCTTCGCTTGTGGAAAAAAACTAAAGAAGAAAAACCAACTTTTGCATACTATTAAAATTTTTTTGAAATAAATTAAAATCTCAGCTCATGAACAAACCTGATCTGATTGTAGAATCTTATACTTGACTGGATTACCCCAATACTCTTCACACGGTACTAATTCATTCGGTGTTACACGATACACTCGATTTGTACGCTGAATCATCAGTTCATAACGTTCATCTTCTTCAGGTGGGCCAGCGGCTATACAAAAAAATAGTGTGTGTGGAAACAAAGTTGGCCAAAATAAAAACAACATAAAAGTAAGGGGAATGACAGAAAAACACAATGATTACATTTTTTAACTAGATAAGAATAGGGATGAGTCTTATATTCTCCCCAATGAAAATCTGCTTATCTCAAAAGGTTTTAAATTATAAAAACTGACATTTAACATTTTGATGTGTGTCAGGTTGTAAAGCCGCAAATCTAGAGTATCTTTCCAAGACAGGAATATCTATCTATGGCTGATGTTGACAGTTTGCATTCATAACTTTCTAGATGATTAACAGACTGTCCTAGTGTTCACTTGAAACAAACTGGTCAATTTTAGACTTTACCTCGAAAACACAAAAGACAAGCCTACCACCCGCTGGTATTAACAGTAAGTTTTCAAGTAGTCGTATTATTACTGGTAGTAATAATAACAATAGTAATAATAATAATAATAATAATAATAATAATAATTGTTATGATCATAAAAGCAGTACTGATTGTTATTGTTTCTGGCGTATTAACAGCACATGGTTACGAAGCAATTCACCATATTGAGAAATATTTCAGTGTATCCATCCAGGTATATATTTATCGATCTGTTTTTTTACCTGTTCACTAGTGTGTTTTTATGTTTTTCAGACTTTGACATATGGTATATTTTTTTCTTTCTTCTTTAAAACCAAGAAATAAACACTTTCTAACTTACACATTGAATACAAAAATCAAAATGGCAGACAACCTGTACACACATACTTAACTAAAAATCATTCTCTAGAGCCTTTTGTTGTAGTGAACGGGATAATTAAACGCACAGACCTGCATCATTCTGAAAACAGTATGAAAATTTAGAGTATTCAACGTGTCAAACAGCATCTGGATCTTCAATACCAGTGCCAAGTTAATGATTCTGTATGGTTCAGAGAGTTGGGCGTATGCATCAACAAAAGCATTTCCAACAGGTCACTGCTGACATTTCATCAACAGCTGCCTTCAACATCTCGAGACAATGGAAATCAGATGTCCAGTTGGAAGGAATATACAATAAGGAACTCAGGCAACGAAACAAAAAAGAATTTTTTGTCCAACAAATATAAAGAAGGAAATGGAGATGGATTGGAGATACACTGAGAAGACAGTTGGGTGACACCACACACATCAGATAGGCCTTTGAATGGAATGTGAATAGGGGGCGCCACCAGCTGGCCGTTAAACCTTGGGTGACCTTAAACCCCTCCAAATGCCAAACAGTCAATTTCACCTTTAGGCATAAATCCGGCCTAAACAAACTGGTTGGCTCTCACGAGGTGTGCAACATAGATGGCACTGAAATAGAAACCAAGTCGGAGATTAAATACCTAGGCGTCATTCTATCTGCTGATCTTTCCTGGTCGTCTCATATCTTGGCGATTTCTAAAAAAATGTTCCGTCTCACCTTCTACATCAAGAAGTTAAAACATTCTAGTATAACCCAACCCTTACTCCTACAATTCGTTAATTCTCGCATTCTGCTTATTATTCTCTATTGTTCCCCCTTAGTCTTTCCGGGCTACTGAAGTAAGACTACAACATATTACGCAGGATGTTAAAGGTTGTCAGCAGGGTAAGCAATGTGCCACTTAACCAGCTTGTTGATATTCTGGTCGAAAGGCACATGGACTCATGTGAAAAATGGGCCAAATCCATTTTATCTAACTCACATCACCCTCTCCACTCACAACTCTCCCCTTGCATCTCATCAGGCAAAACCAGAAGCGTATATAGAAAACTGTATGCTCGCACCAGCAAGTACAAAAACTCAACCATACCCTACTTAACTCGTGTTCTGTGTGATAAAGAAAGCATTAGGCGTGACACCTATAATTCATTAAATAGTCAGTAGAACAACTGGACCTCGTCTTTCCAACTCATATCATTTATAGGTACAACATTTTCTTTCTTTCTTTCCCTTTTCTCTCTCTCTCTCTTTTTTCCGTTATGTGCTGCTTCGTTTCTTTCTCTTGCTGACGCCAGTAAATATGATAGCACCTACTTTTCTAACACCTTCAAACACTGTTCAGCTTTACCTTTGCTACTAACATGCCAATATGTTATTGTCATAATGAACTGAGATTTCCTTAATCTATGTAGAATTTTATTTATTGATAATGTACTAATTGGATGCAATACTGTAGTAAAAAATGCTGAGAATTCCATTCTGTATCACATGGACTGTTTTGGAATAAAGCAAATTATTATTATTAAAGTGGAATGAAATCGTGGAGCCAGATAAATGGGGCTGCAGAAAACAGGGTAAGATGCAGATGTACTGCTGAAGCTGTCTGTATTTTCCAGTTAGAGCCAAATGGAGTAATAATTATAATAATAACCGTTACTACAAACAATGGACCTTCAAAAAGGGAACTCGAGATAACTAATCACCAAGTTAATTATAAATGTCAAGCATGCATTGCTTACAAGACCTAGTTTGACGTTTCTGCACCCTGTGGGAAACTAAGAAACTTCTTTTAAAATAAACGATGTTGTTTTAAAATACAATTTTCTAAAAATTTTGCACCTTTCCCCAAAACGGTTGTTTCAGGTCCTTTAGAAACTTATACGATTGGAGGCTATCACAGTTTAACATCCTCGAATATTGGCAATGAACATCGAGGAAATTTAGTTTAAATAATCCAGACAAACTGAAGAATGAATCTAATAGACAAACTACATGAGATGAGATTTTATTATCAATTTATTTTTACCCGCCTGTCGTTTAGGTGCTTAAATTTGGATAGAACTTGCTAACTACTAAAAGCTTTAATGTAAATGTCGATCACCAACTCACTGATAGCCATTAGATGGATGTCCTGAGGCTGTATAATGATAATTGGGGTCCATCATGTAAAAGTGGAGTGCATGCTCATCGAAGACGTTACTTGGAGGTGGCACTATATCACGGGTAGATAGAAATTAGAATTCGCGAGCCATTAAATTCCAGCTCTCGGCGACTCAGCTGAAATTACCGGGTTCACCCATGATGGGGTACTGGAAGTTGACTGTTGAAGAGTCCCAAATTAGGACGAAAAAGTTCTCCAATACTGCCTTATTTCTAGTGATGTCTAATTGATGCTGCTTCGTGACAAAATTTACACTGAAACATGATGTATTGTTTTGCACCAAAGATGAGAACAATATTTCTGTACACACTGAGAACATTCTCTGTGGACGACAGATAAAACACTCTAGTGTGACAAATACCACGGGCGGAGAGAATGAATCTTATAATTGATTTTCAAACCGTACATTCATTCCGCAATTACTACATGATATATTATTTGGTGAATGGTGACTAGCAGTAGAATCCAGGATGATGATGTCATCGTATTTGGAACTAGTCAACTGGATATACTTGCATTTCTCAGTTCGTGATTGTATTATCGCTCAGTCTCGAACCTAGCACTCATAGTTTCAAATCACATTCCACCTGCCTACATGAAACAACTCTGAACAATATCGGTCGTCTGACTACTGCGTTCACTAGAATTAACTGTTAATCTGAACATACAAACAAACTTTCTGTCTAGGTTTAAGATCATTATTTACAGATCACAGTCTATTGTTATTAACTATTCATCTTGCTGATTATATAACTTCAAGTTCTCACTAATTAGCTTACATAGTTGTAAAACCCTAGTAGGTGCTTGTTTAGTTAACAGTAATGACGAAATCGTCTTACTATTATCTCGTGATATTGGTAATTAGAACTAGGAAAACAAAAATATTTGGTCTCATTTAACCTAATTCATTTCTTTTGTTTCATAGTTTTTCTTTTTGCCGATTTCAATAGTTCTCATGCTAAGATACCACGAAATAATGAACAAAAATTTTCATTTTACAACAAGAGATTTTGAATTATATGTCAGTAGAGAAATTTAAAAGGTTGTTCTTTGATAGTGTTCATTTTTGTTCCCTTTCTTGTGTTATTTAGCATAATACAGTTAGTAATATCGAGGTTAGGTAAACAGTGGTAGGTAAGGAGGGAAAGCCAAGCCATGAGGTTGTGAAGCTACAGAGATCAAGGTGGCTAGGATGCATGCTGTGCATGTCAAGCCATCACCTTCCCCCTCCCACTGATCATGGGAAGTTTATTGACATAGGATTAGGTTAGAAAAGAGTTAAGCTTGATCAAATCATAGCACGAGATCAATCTGCAGAGTCTTTGGCTGTTGGTTCGACCCACGCAGAGGGTGGCGTAGACCGCCTGTTTAGAATTCTCAGCATTCTAAGATCCAACGACTCGAGACTATTTGTCATATGGCTCAAAATGTCTCTTAGTGGCTCAGGTAAATTCACTCTGTGTGATTCCCCAGATTCAGTAGGTTGTAATTACTCTGTTTTCCTCCATGTATTTCTAGCTTTAATAGTTTCTTCACATTTATGTGTCTATTTATAAAGTGTGGCAACAATTGTTCATCCTTATGCTAAAGTACTAATCTTCGTTACTTTTACTACTATAATTTGATGAGTAGTAGGTCGATTCTTCAAAATTGAAGCAGACTAATTCAATACATTATAGTTTGAACTACATACACAACAGACTGAATGGAGAAAAGCCTAAAAGCAGATGTACACATGACAGTCAAGCATCTATGCACAATTTTTTGCTAGTCATTTATGGTGTCAAGCAGTTTACATATTATGTGATCTGATCAATTTCGGTTTCCATAGAAAACTGTAGTCAAACTATACCTTGAACTGTGTCAACTGCAAATCTCGGATTAATCTGACAAAAATGCGGAATTCAATTTGACGTGATATCAGTTTGCCTAAATAGGTAGCTCCGGTTCGGGTGGTTTTCAACCAAACTGCTTACACCACGGATGAGACCAGACTCAAATGACAGCAACCGGTTTTCCAGTGTTTAAATCACTTCGATTTAGCTAGACTGACTAACTGACTGTTTTCAACATAGAACTTTGCACAGATGTGCAGCGATTCGAGTCGCCACACTTCACTTAGCACGCAAAGCAAGAGAAAAAAGTAAAAAGAAATGCAAAATAGAGACAGTAAACAGAGATATGAGGCAAAAAGAATAGTAATATCGAGGAACAATACAGTTTTATTGGGAATTAAAAGTCACAAGGAGTGGATGCATCTGCGCCAGCCATTGAGAATGGTTTTGAGCCATATTAGGGTCATGAGTTCGAGCCCCACGTTCGGTGATCTAGCCAGATAGTAAGAACTGTTACCTGATGGTATCTAACTACTCATGTAAATCAGTCAGTAGTATACCGAAGTCCAGAACACCCTGAAAATCTGATATATCCACTACTAACAAAATAATAATGCAAAATTTGAAATATTTCAATACTTTCAAGATAAATTCAATTAATTTAGCAAAAATATTCATTCAGACATCTATAAAACACAAAGAACATCCTTTTCGATAATTTCCTCTTCTGGCTCTACAATTATATATATATATGTTTATATACACAGAATATTCTAGATTAGTAGTCAATAACGATATTAGTGTTTTTTTAACAATATAATAATAAAAATATAGTAGCAAATAGAATATCAAGTAAAATTAGGAAAATTACACAAAAATTGAGGATCATTCAAACCTAGATGGCCAAGGTAAGGATAATGTCTGAACTAGCTTCTTTTGGACACATAAATTAGGCTTTTTAATATGGATCCCAACAGCCTCAGCAATATTTAGTAATCGAACTCTTAAGGAGAAATTGAGATTTGTCGGTATGCGGTAGATGACCCTGAAAGCCTGGTTAACATCAATCTTGTGTTCCGTATCCAAAAGACGACATAGAATAGCGCTATGAATAGATTTTGTTTGTCCTTTACTTAACCAAGAAGGGTGATTTTCGTAAACCCGACGAGAAACACGCCTAATTGTACGGCCTATGTAACTGGCTCCACAGGAGCAGTTAAATTGGTAGATACACATGGAAGAGGAGAAATTAGGCAGTTTGTCTTTTACTCCCGAACGCAAGAGAGGAGTGGTTTTGAAGACACAGAGTAATTCGGCAGCAGGGAATGCTATTTTTACCGCATTTCTAATGCGTTGTGTTAGTATCTCGCTGATGTTGTCCCCGAGAAACTGTATTTGTAAGAATAAGGCCTTTTTTGCAACTGTTAGTACCTTGGGCTGCCTTGATTTTAGATTCACATTCTTATTTCGAAACTTTTCTGGATAACCAATTTAACTCAGCAACCGTTTAATATTATTAAGTTCCTCATCAAGACATTCATCCAAGCAAATTGCTCTTGCTCTGTGAACCAAACACTATGTATACAAACATATATATAATTGTGGAACCATAAGAGGAATCTATCGAAAAGGATATTCTTTGCTCAATTATTTTTTGTTTTATAAATTTAATTAATGTTAAAAATTATCAAGTTAACTAAAAACGAAAACCCACAAAATTTCTGTGATTTTGCACAAATTATAAAATACTTACGATGAACTTTTTGTGGTGAATCATATCCTAAAGTTTTCCAAAATTTCAAAGTTGCAGAGTATGATCGATTTACATTGTCACTGATAACTACATAACTTTCATTATCTAACTCCGCATCATCTTCAATGGCATTTGCATTCTCATGTACTGAAATATAACCATCACTTGTGTTAGGCACAGATTCGCTTAAACTTCCATGATATGATAATTCATGCTTTTTATAAATCCATGAAGCCAATTCACGAGTTTTATTCACTTCAACGATGTTAGCCGATTCACCGAACCAAGCGAAGACATCATTTGTTGTGATAAGGATGAAACAATCTCCAGAATTCATAGATTTAGCTGATGGTGCAACTAAACGCACTTGAACATGTCGTCGACCTATATACAGACATATAATCGAGGAAAAAAAGAAATGCAATCAAAAGAAACCCACATGCTAGCAAGATTTATCTGGATATTCAACTGGTAACCACTCAAGATGATGAATAGAGGGATAAGGTGAAAGAGTGTAAATAGAAACAATACTACAGTTCATTTCGTTGTTCATGCAAGTCATTAAAATTAATTTTCAAACCATATCAAAGTGTTCTGTACAAAAGATAAAAGTTAGCCTAAAATATATTCGAAACAAGGCACTACTGATAATGGTATGATTAAAACATTAATTTTGAAGAATTAGTTTGTAGCAGTTCTATTTGTTTCAGGTCAGACAATGGATTGATATCAGTTAGCGAACCAAGGAGTACTGGACAGCTGTTTCGTCCTAGTTTGGAACTCATCAGCATTACTCAGCCACTTCCCACAAGTGGCCAGTACAGGACGAAGTTACCCGGAGGAGCTCTAGGAGGAAGTCTTGACCAGTGGAGTACATCCAGTCGGGAGTGAGGATGGAGTTCCCACCTACTACATTCGTTGGTGCCAGTCGCACTAAAATCACAAATTGTTGGAAGTTAGAATACATGGACTGACCAATGTATCGGGTTCTAGTGGCTGAATGGTATACGAGCTTACCTTGTAACAGTGAAGTCATGGGTTCGAAACCTAGTGGGTGAGTACTGCCGATGAGTCCCAAACTAGGAGGCGGAAACAGATGTCCATTACTCCCTGGTGGTTTCAATGGTTCTCTAACTGATATAAATCCGTAGTCTAACCTAAAGTAAAAGATTACTGTTAAATTTCTACATATCCGCCTAGGACTGTCTTCACTAAACTACCTGACAGAAGCCAGTTACATTCAAAAGACGGTGAATAACATTAAAATATAAAGGATTATTCCATTATCATAAACGTCAATTGTATCCTAAAATTTGCTAACAACAGAATTTCTAAGCGCCTCGGATCACAGCACTTAAAAATAAGGTAACAGTATGAATCGGGAGTTGAATGAAGTCCGAATAAATTCACAAAATCTGATGGAAAGCAGTATTCTTGTTGGACGGTTGAAAGCGATCGGCAGAAATCCTTAGGCCTAAGATTGCAGATACACCTCACTGACAAGTGTCCACAAGCACGAAACCTAAGTCCACAACATTACAGAGTGCATCATGAAGACGAGCCATCTAGTATGATGGACACATCGCAAACTTGACTGACAGAATTTAGTCTGCATCAAACCAAGGAGTAGATGCATAACATTCGTTACTACCTAGTTTACAATCAAAGAAAAGCAGTAATTCGGAGTGTTAACTGGCTGAAATGACATTTTCTTGTTTTGAGTTCAAATTCGGAGTTATTGATGAAACTGCATAATATAGCCTGAGATTACCACAAGAATGATGAGTGAAACGGAAACAATGGTATCTAGGTGACAACATGCACTCAAAAAGCTGAAAGCAAATTCTGACTACTCAATATTACTTCAAACGAAACAAATTAGTTCTTGACTCCTCTAATACTACAATGTTATGGAGGTGAAAACATCAATACACAAATATTGAGCAGTGTTCATTCTACCAGGTGATTATATATTTGCAAGTAAATATAGTTTTATTTTCAAAACTTATAAGACTTTTCAAAGGATAGATTGACGATGCATTATCTGCCATCTAACACTCTCCATCTAACCATTCAGTGTGTATTTACGTGAACCCCATTTACTCTTATAAAAGTAAAATTAAAATAAACCCTGTTAGGTTAGTGAAGAATGCACATCTTTTGCAGCTATTGTTTAAGTAAATTCGGAATACTTTATCACGTACGCATTCTTCTTATTACCACAAAAGAATTTATTTGTAATTATCATCAATACATATGTTAATCTGAATATATCTACAATGTTCATTTTTCTATGCACCAACAATAGATTGTGTTAAGATTTAAACAAAAATCTAACACCAGCCTGTTTTCTTTTTCATTACTTATTTTCCCACTGAAACACCAGGGCTTCAAGCTTCGGAGCTTCAATAGAGGTGCTCAACCTTCCTTCTTTTCCGAGCTTACTCCCTGAAGGCAAACTAAGCGAGATTTGAAAGTGAGTCGACTAAAAATCCAACCCAAACCGCCCCAAATGAATGACAAGCAATTTACTATAGAAACAGTGACACATACCGACTCAGCTTGTAAAACACTCTATGTCAAGACGTGAAGCTCAACCACGCAGCTTGTTGGAATGATTCAAGAGATTTGATAGTTTGAGACACATATAGGTCTTTCCATGAGTGTTGTATCTAAAATAGTCAAAGAACGTCATCCTGGCTTGGCTACGAAAACGTAACTGTGGATCAATAAGGAGTGCTATCATTCAACAAAGTCAAAAGAAGCATCCCGAAAAAAGTAAGTCCAAAAAAATTTCAGCTGTTCTGTGAAAATTACCTTTTATATGTAACAGCATTGGTGACTTGTATGGTAAAAGTCGTCCAGATGAAGAGAATCGAAACGACTGTCTATCTTGAACTGTACGTAAATTACTCTTTGCTTCATTGATATCCTCGGTGCTTGTTAAACCTGCTTTAGCTGATTCAGCGAGAATTGAATTTTTCGCATTAAAATCTAGAAGAATTAAGGAAAAAGATAAAAAACAGGAAAAGAAATTATGGGGAAGAATTACACTCATGTGATTGACTTAACTCTTGTAGATAAGTCAAGCTATAGAAGAGATTTAATTGCATCAGTGGTTTTCCAAACTTCCATTTACGCCATTAGAAAAAACGACAGATTGAGCGGAGAAATATATTCCTTTTCAGTTAGTTCCTCACCATCGGCTGGCTCTACACTAATATATAGCTTTTACATCAAAATTTTTTTACCAATCAAGTGGTTATTTTAATTAATCAGTTTAAGGTGTAAAGGGGGAGGTGAAACTAAGAGGTTAAAGGTCATCAAAACGATTAACTAATAGATATTAGTAAAATGGTATCTAAGTTTTGAGGGAGAGGTGTAAAACTAATCACGGAGTTCAAGATAAGTTAATTCTTAGGCGTTAGTAACAAGTTATTACGTAATCAACAAATTTGTAAAATAGCAATGATGACTAAGATGAGTAGGATGACTCATAAGAATTACGTAACATACAAACAAGCAAGTTATTATAATTAGATAGAATTGAAAAATATAATAACAAAGTTACAAGGGGAGGGGAAAAATCGCTTTAAAAAACTTAATGCCTATGCTGTATGTCAATGTCGTACTCGTCGACCATGTGAGAGGTTGGGTGATATACGATAGATAACTTTAAAAGCTTTGTGAGAGTCGGCTTGATGTGCAGTATCTACGAGATGAGCTAGTATTGAGCTGCGTATAGCTTTATTTGAACCTTTGCCAAACCAAGATGGGAGCTGTTCATAAATCTGACGATGAACTTGCCTGGTCGTATGTCCGATGTAACTAGCTCCTCACGGGCAGTTAAACTGATAAATACACATGGAAGAGGCAAAACAGGGCAGTCTGTCTTTATTTCTTGAAGTAAGTATTGGTTGGCTAGTGAATATACAACATAGCTTAGCTGTGTTGATAGTCCTTTTCAAAGCCCTTCTCAGTCGCTGTGATAAGATCTCGCTATTAAAATCACCCGTGAGTTGTAATCTTAGGAAGACTGATTATTTAGGAACAGTGGGCACCTTGGAACTTTTACTTTCTAAATTCATGTGTTTGTTCACGAATTTAGTCGGATATTCGTTTCTACTTAGTAGATCACGAATATTACCGAGTTCTTCGTTCAGTATCTCATTTGAACAGATAACTCTAGTTTTATATGAGGAACAAGATTACCACATCTTCTATACTAATGTCAGAACACTGATTCTGTATGGTACAGACACTCAGAGTATCAAGGAAAGTATTTCCGAAGGGGCTATAAACTTTCATCAACAGCTGCTTTCGACAGGCTCCATATTTGAAGGTCAAGTGGACAGCAAGAAAGAACAAACACCAAGGGACCCTGGCAAGCAACAAACCAACCGGGAACTTATCATCCGACAAGTACACCGAAGAAAATGGAGATGGATTAAATATGTGCAGTGGAGACCGTCGAGAGACATCACACGTGATTAGAAAGCAATTATTTGGGCGTTGGTCTTACACTGACTTATAGACGATAATGCAGCCAGCATAAAAATGACTATAGATAAAACGATGAATTGACTATGTACTGGTTAAAGCTTTATATTCCACTCGAAACCCAAGGGGACACTAATGATGACATAGTTGTTACCTGTCATTAGTGTATTTCATAAGAATGAATCTGATATTGGCTATGCGCAGATCTGCTTATGAGTCCAACTGAGACAGGGCATTGGTGTAGATAACTATCGTCAACAAGTTGGGCAGGAAATTCTGTCCATCCCCTACTCTTCCTGCTTTATGTCTAAATTTTATGTTATTTCACTGGATCATAAAACCTTTATGCATACTTGTGCTTCTAGTTGTTTCCTTCATCTGTTATAAACCTCAACAGTTTACCAACACTTTCATTTTTCGTTCATCTTACCACCCCCCAAAGTTGTTATTTTATACAGCTTGAAGTATCTTGAAGAAAAACAATAACACTAATATTGATACAAATCAGTTTGAATACAAATCAGTGAATACTACGACTACCACTACTACCTGTCACAATATTTTTCTGTATATAAATCCTTTCTTTTCTAACTAATCAATACCTGTTAAGTAATAGAAAAACAATGTTCAAATCAACAGTGAAGAAAATAACACTGATGGTGTAGTAAAGATCACGACTGTTTTTTACCGTCTCCTTTTTTTTATATTTTTATTTCATTCGACTAATTAGTCTGTTTTGAAATGTGGTAATTCAGGTTTTCAGTTATCTTTCTTTCCTTCATTCGGTCAGGTATAGTTGAATTAATTTAATATGTGGCTTGCTAGTGACTGACTGGCTACAGGACAAAATTGCCCGGAAGAGTTCTAGTGAGAAGTAGTAACCAGTTGGGTGAATCCAGTCGGGAGTGAATACGGAGTTCACACCGATGACATTCGTTGGTGCCATTCGCACTAAAATCACGAATTGGTAGAAGTCAGAATTCACAGAATGGCCATTGAATCGGGTCCTAGCGGCTGAATAGTATACGAGCCTGCCTTGTAGCCGGAAGGTCCTGGGTTCGAACCCTGTCAGTGGGTGCGTACTGCATACGAGTCCCAAACTAGGAGGCAGAAACAGATGTCCATTAATCGCTGATGGTTTCAATGGTTCTCTAAATGATATCAATTCGTGGTCTAACTTGATTCTAGTGACGACTGAAGGAAACTGTTGAAAAGGAGTTTTATCGCTTCTCTTCCTTGATAAGGGATTTATGAGTCCCCTCAAACACACATCCTGGGCTAAGTAACATTTTTAATTACCTGAAGTGTCTTCAACAAATAAATTAACAACAGGAGTACTTCAATGTGACAAACATAAGATGGCATGATTTCCCAGGATTCTTTCAGGTAAATAGTCATAAACTTAATCGTATTTTTGACTATGATGTGGGATTTATCAGTCACTTTGAGTTGAATGACGTTCATTGTAGAGGCTAGTATACAGTATACTTATAGGAGAATATTAGTTACAGGATTTCATCATGAGCTGACGTTGGTTAGAGTACCATTGGAAAACCTGGGAGTACTGGACAGCTGTTTCGTCCTAGTTTGGAATTCTTCATCAGTATGCACCCACCGGGATTCGAGCCCAAGACCTTCTGGTTACAAGGCGAGCTTGTATACCATTGAGCCACTGGGATCCGATCCAATGGCCAGTTCATGAATTCTAACTTCTGCCAATTCACGACATAGCGCGACCCCTAGCCAATGTCTTCGGCGAGTATTTGTCCTCACACCCAACCAGCTGCATCCTATTGGTCACAACTTCTCACCAGAACCCCAGGTAACTACCTACCTGAATAGAGCAAGTCGCTGGTGAGCATCACATTGATATTCAAGTGTTGGTTTGTAGGGATTTGATTGGTTACAGGATTTCATCATGAGCTTTGTGATAATATGGAAACTAAAACAATTTATCAACACTATTTTTTGAAAAGAAAATGCATTTGTCAAAGTCAGTTTTGCTGATGTGGAAAACAGAACTGTAGTCATTTTTAGGCGACACATATTCATTAAATGACTGTGTTCCAGTGTTGATAACACTAAAGACAATTTTCACTATTCATGAATCATCCCTTCATCAAAGGGTTCAGTGAAGACGCTCTCTCTTTCCAGTGATTTCGTTTTCTTCGGCTGTACAGCCTCATTTAGATACATTTTTTTTTGAAAAATGAATACAGTAGGATCTTCAAGAACAGTGCTCTCCAGCTACTTACTGGTCTACAAAAGTTTCAAAGATGAAATTTCACATCTTATCACATCTGCATGCATGCATCAGTACACCTACTCCTATAGAGCCAAGTATTTCGATTGTTTGATGCTTATTCTGGCTAAAAGGGTTCAAGAATACTATAGGTAAAGGAGTTTTATAAAGAGTGTAAGAGTTGAACATCTCGTTGACACTAGACATTCACTCTGAACAAAATTCACCTTCAAAGCTATGATATGCATCCGCCTACTTTGCATTGCTGAAGGTCTAGCAATTTGCATAAAGAAACCGAAGTTCTAAATGTAAAAGCGTCTTCTTCAGTCATTTCTACTATCCTAGTAACTTTTATAACTCTTCCATTCTTTCGAATTCATTTGTACTGACTGCAACTCATTGAATAAATAATTTATCTCATCAAGTACCTAATTCAACTTCTCTTATGTATTTATGAATATTAGGAACTACGTCTACACTAGTTCATCTCTTTCATTGCCATTCTATTTTTCAGAAAACAACTGTATATATATGAATGCGACTGAAGTCGCTAAATAGAACCTCCTCTCTAAACTCCCTGTTTTTGTATATATCTTTTTCACAAATGTTTACAATCCTTGGTATTAGATGGCTGGAGGCAATCGGCAGGAAGCCTTGGACCTAGGTTTCGTGTTAGTTGGCACTCGTCAGCAAGGCGTATCTGCAACCAATCTGTTTACAATCATAAACAATGAGGTAATGAGAGAAAGACTCGATTCCCTTCAAATGATAATAATCCTAATTAAATCAACTACATAGCTTCTGTGATTGACTAATAATTTTATCATCGCGATATACAGATTTACTGAAGCATAGGTTATAATGCTCATTGCTTGCACTTATCACTAATCAGTGTTTAGGACATAAAATCCTATTTTGTTATACTGTATATACTACCTATTGTACATAGACAGGCAAAACTGATTGTCTAAAATACATTTCTGAAGTAAACTGATGTTATTACTATGTTAACTTTTATATATATCCAAAAGTAAGGATTGAAGAGATTTAGATTTCTCTCCAATTAAATGATAAGTTTGTTGACTGTTCATTTTCAGTATGTAAAATATGCTCCGTGTGGATCCATCCCCGACCAGCACACACACACCCCTCCCCCTTGGAAATATACTGTCTAATTAAGAACTGAAATGCTGCTTAAAGCAATAAAAAGAGATTCGTACAACATGTAAAAAGGAAGAGCTTAAGCTTAAAAAGGAAGAGCTTTTCTTCAAATTTTAGATGAATAAGTCGAAAGGTGACTATGGAGGTAAACAACATCTATATCATAGCTAAAATAAATAAGAAAATAAGCGCTTCTAATTAAACTTAGAAAGAGAAATAGTAAAGTGAAAACCATTTTTGCACACAAACACACACACATTAGTAATAAGATGAAAACTTTGAAGTATTTTAATTGCCACTCATTAACTGATTGAAGTTATGATAATCACAAATCATAAAATAAAGAAGAAAGTATAGGAAGAAAGAAAATTTCTTACATTTATCCTCCTATATGAATTTGAATAAAGCAAGAACAACCAAATGGTTTGTGCAGAATCATATCGTACCATCATTCATTTCACTGGCTTCGCATCAGCTACCACTTACAGCCTAAGGAAATTATTAACTTTATTTACAGAAAAGTTTTAACAAACTTGCAAATTTTACATGATATCAGTTGACAGGAGGTTCTGGACTAAGTGAACAGTACTCAAAAAATACGTTTATTTAGTCTTTCCATAGAGAGTTCAAGTTTAAACATGGTAAATGTATGCATACAATGGTAAAGAAGTTACGTAATAAAGACGAGGGGTGCGTAAGATGATGAGTAACAGTGTGCTGAGTTCAACTCAAATCATTAAAACAACAGACAAGCAAAATTACACCATATCAGAGGAGGTGAGGTTGAAGCCATGAGGAGAAAGGTCATGAGGTTGAAATCGGAAAATCCTTTAAATTTATCAACAGACAAAAAAGCTCAATTTTCCTCAAATTTGTCGAAGCAATCTCTATCAGACGCCTAAAACTTAATTTATGTGTTCAGAAAGAAGCAATTATCAGTCTTTACTTTGCCCTGCTAACTAGATGTCTTTATTCCATCTTTCATTTGATTATGTAATCTTTGGTTTTGACCTCTTCCTCTACTTTGTTTAAACTTGGACTCCCTATGCAAAAACTATGTAAGTGTAGTTTTCTGAGCACTGTTCGATAACTCCGGAACCTTCTGTCAACTGACATCATGTAAAATTTGCAAGTATGTTAAAACTTTTCTGTAAATAAACTTAATAATTTCCTTAGGTTGTAAGCAGCTGATGAGAAGCCAACGAAATAAGTGGTAGTACCATATTATTCTGCATAAACCACTGTTGTTCTTGCTTTATTCAAAAGAAAGAGAATGTAAATATTATATATCTCTTCATTATTACTGCTTTCATTATACTTTGATGCATCACAAATTAGCAGATGTTAGAATTCATGAGCCCACCATTGGATTCCGTTCCAGTAGCTGAATGGTCCACAAGCTCGCTGTGTACCGACATAGATCCTGGGTTCGACCCCTGATTTGATCATACATGTCCCAAACTAGGAAGAAACAACATCTCGGTACTCTAGTACTATTTGTCAATAGTTCTCCAACAGAAATCAATTAGTGAATAAACTTGAAATACTGATGCGTATATTTTGAGTCAGGATGGAGAAGATTCCAGTAGAGAATAAATTAGGAAAATTCAGCTGGAGAAATACCTACGAACTTCTATAAAAAAAATCAAGCCTTATTTTCGAATTCAGGTTTATGATACTTTTGGGCTGTTTGGTTCCTGGATATCAAGTATACTTGTTTTCAGGTCTGACTAATAAGATGAAATGAGATGACATTTAAACTACATCTTGTTCCAGGAATTCTAATAAATATACCTACAATGAACAGATGAGGACAGAACAAAAATCTGTAACATCCTATGGAAATCAGTAACATTTCTACGAACTGCTGTCTGGATGGTAGCCGATATAATAAGCTATCCAGTCTTCAGCGTGTTGGTCGATGTTAAGTAATTAGGAGTGCAATACATTTACTTGCCTTTGTTACATAGCCCTTTTGTGCAACATATCAGACTTAAGGATTTCCTGTGGACGAGAACAAGATAGATATAGGTTACCATAACCCAATGTTTAGTTTGCATATATATTTCAGACTACTATGAATAACTGTTTCGGTGGTTCACTGGTTAAACGCTCTCCAATCATACATGAGGTTCAGATTCGTTTCCCGTCCAAAGCCCTCCTAAACCTAATGTATTTTACCAGGTGATAGGAAGGCTAAAGAAGAGGGAAGGTTAGGTGGGAGGCTAGCAAACCTATCCTGTGAAAATATAAACGATATCACCGCTATTGAAAATTCAAAGTCTAAGGTTTGAAGCCGTATGTTTCACTCGGAACGGGTTAACATCAGCCAACTGCAGAAATGCATTCAGTGAGATAAGGAAGCTGGGACCAAGGTACAACAGGAAGGGGTAGAACCAATAAAGTCGGAGCGGCTCCGTTCGAAACTATTTGATGGGAGGACGAGTGTGGCATGTGCTACCGATAAGATTTATCAGTAGTATGTAAAAGGACACAAGGAAACACAATATGCAAATTGTGTGTTGAAAATAAGGTGTACATAATTTGGCTATATAGAGATACCAAATCGCAGTTGGAATGTTTCAGTCATTTCACTCGGTATGCAACGAATGACTACATCCCAGCTTTCAAACGCAATTTCCTTAAATCTTTTCAAAAATGTTTAATGATTTCAATTGTCATCTGAAGCGTTCATTAATAAATTTGCAAAAAGAAAATGAAAAATGCATAATTTTTACCTAATCCAACTTTCAAAGATGGATCCACAGCACGTAACAATGGTTGAAATGGTGTTAAATTTGTATTGGCTTGTTGTTCTGTCGTTTTGTTTGTACGTACTTCTTCATAGTTAGATTTGATATTTTCTCTTTGTTCTAATGCTTTTAGGGGATTTTTAAAGTCTTTCGGAGGTTTTCGTTTTTCTGGTCTAGCTGCACGTCGAGCATCGACAATCCTGCAAGAAATAAATAAATAATCAATATTTAATTGAATTTCAAATTTTCCCGTCGATTGATTGGACCGAAGTGCTTGGTCTCAGGTTGGCATATCGGCTTCTTGTGCAGATGCTTCGACGATGTCTGGGCATGTAGTCAGAATTAAATTGGTGGATGGTGACTAGCAGTGGAATCCAGGATGCACACTTCGTCCTATTTGGGACTCGTCATCTGGCGCTTGAAACTACGGGCACTGGGTTGGAGCCTCGGTGGGAACATCACTCACTGGGGATGTAGGTACATTCAGATGACGAGTCTCAAATAGGACGAAATGTGCTCCTTGGATTCCACTGCTAGTCATCATCCACCAATTAAATAATCAATATGTTTATAAATAACTCCAAAAAATTATGAAAAGGTATGTTCCAAAACTTTTTTGAAACTTATAATTTGATTTTGTTTAGGATTTATGCAGTTGATGAGTATCCACGAAATAAAACGAGCTCGTATTATCCTGCAAACATGTTCGTTCTTTCTCTCTTCAAAATACTTTATCCTCAAAAGTGATCTCAATATTCTTAAAACCGAATTTGTAGAAACAATATTTAAGCCAACTTAGGTGATAATCGGCATCAAGTGTTCTGTAAGTTCCTTTTTTTATGCCAATACCATCAAATTTTCTGTTAGTATCAATGATGAAATCTTTATCTGAAGGTGTAACGCTTAATTTTCCAGCAGAATAAGTACTGTCTGTGTTCATTGCAACTATCCAGAAACCGATTGAAGATTATCTGTACATAAGGATGTTCTGTTTGTCGAGATTATTATCAATATCAGGACTGAGTATGTAAACAGTTGGTATCAGACAGTAGAAATAGTAAAAACTTGTACACTGTCATTTCATCCTCAGGTTTAACTCTTTAGTAGTTAAAATCGAGTTTATTAAACATTCTTACTAACTAACCAAGTATCTGAAATCAACTGAGTTGACAATTTGAAGATTATGCAAGGTGAGTACGTATTCCAGAAAACTTGACATCGACAGGAATACCCGTCAGATTACTCCGAATTATATGTAAAATGCTTTTATCACACTGTTATGACAGAGTACAAGCTGGGTTGTGGTTTTTGTGTAACTTCACAAAAATGTGTCTCCAGAAGGCGACGCTATACCCACTTAAAAATATCTCCCACACTACGACAGACACAAAATCAGACTAGGAAAAACTATGACCAGAAGGAAAACGACAACTTATATTAGACAATAAACTTGGTATGGTTATATTTAACAAACCCTCAGAAAGTTAAGCTTTGAATAAAGCAAGAACAACATTTGTTTTTGCAGAATAAAATGGTACCATCATTGTTTATTTCGTTGGCTTCTCATCATCTCAGCTGCGCACAGCCCAAATACATTATTAAGTTTATCCACAGAAAGAATATCTCGAAAAGATGTTGAGGAACAACGGTTAACCCCCCCCCCCAAAGGTTTATTAACAAGTACGGAAGATCTGAAGGCTCAAATGTCAAGCAAATCACAGTGGGAAAAACGCCCATCTTCGTTCAACTTGATTTTATAGGTGAAAATATTACAGCGATTGTCAACAAAAAATCAATTACATCACTAAGCAGAGCCTGTCTTGCAGCTAAAGCTGGTTCCTGCCTGTCGAACGGGAGCAGTTACATTGGGAGAACAGAAAGAAGGACATACCTCCGATTTTCTGAACATATACTGAAAAGCCTATGTGTAAAGGGAACAAATGCTTTCAACAGTGTCATCACCAGGCATCTCCTTGACACGGATCATGAGGTGGACGTCGCAAGATCTTTTAAAGTTATCTATAGGCAAAAGAGTTCAATTCTCCTTAAGTTTGCTGAAGCAATCTCCATCAAGCGCTTGAAACACGTTATATTCGTTCAGAAAGAAGAGGTTATTAATCTTTCCTTGTCCTGGTAAATGGATGTTTTCATCCTCTCTCTCATTTGATTACGTAATGCCGAAAGATTCCATCGTGTGTATGATCATTATTGTTTGAGATAAAGCAGTTATAATTATAACTAGCATTGTATGCATATATTGATTTTTTTAAATGAACTCTGTAGATATACTTAATAATGTCTTTGGGCTGTAGGCAGCTGATGAGAAGCCAACAAAATAAACAATGATGGCACCATATTATTCTGCACAAACCACTGTTGTTCTTGCTTTATTCACATTCATTTAAGGGATATGAATCTATGAAGTTTCCGAATCAAAACTGTTCACTCAGGTTGTCATGTCAGTAATCATGGCGAACAAAGAAGCTTGTCCGTCCTGACAGATACTTTTACAATCCCTCTTCCTAACATTTTCACTGTTATCTGGCCTCCATTATACATAATTACAAAATATTCGAATGATTACCAAAAGAAAGGAATTCTGAATATATGCAAATTTTGTACTGCTTTCTAGTTCTTTCTATAGATTATATTTTCTCACCTTTCATACATACTTTGCATTTCTTTATCTGGTTGTGCAGACAGAGTTGGTAGTTGGACGGGAGTTGATTCAGTAGGCGACTCAACGACTGGTTTACTTGTGAAAAAATCAGATAATGCTTTGTCTTCAATAGGTGGTACATTGACATTCTGTGAAATTTTGGATGCCTTAAAGAGAGAAAAAATAATAATATACGGTCTACAACGAATGAATGCAAAGACAATAGATTATGTAAAATTCATACAAGGAAATATGAATGAAATATTCTTCTCAACCTATTAAGAGTTCAGTAAACAGTCTTAAATCAGTCAACCGAAAATTGAGTACAATCCACTGTATAAATAAAGTACCAACTTGTGAGGAAGAACAGCCTTCTTTGTTAGCCGTGAAGTCATGGTTAATGCGTACACCGACACAGCAACCTGATTGGACGTTGTTTTTGATTCGTTAATTAATGGCTTGATTTTCTGAGGGATGTTTGTTAATTTATTTGTGGCTTAAACTCCTGAAGTTTTGTAAATATGATATACGATGTATTTTCTCTGATAAAGAAACGTCGTGGTTGTTATGTGTATTGTTTTTGTCGTTTGAGTCGTCATTTATTCCCTGTCTGAATTTTTTTTATCTATCTCAGTGTGGGGGATATTTTCAAGTGATCAGTTAGCTACAGAGTCATGTTCTAGAGGAGAATTCGAATCTAGTTAGACGAACCCAACAACTCAGTAACGCTCCCACACAGGACAACGTTTATTCTCTATGAGATAATGATGCCATCTGTTGGCTATTTGTTGGTCAACAGTAGTCAATAGTTGCATACATCTGTAATTTTCAGAGAACTCATATTCCCGTGAAGACAAGAAATTGTGTATACGGAAGAAAACACCATGTTTACACAGCATGGACGATTCTCCATGGCACTGAGTGATATGTGTAAAAATGATAAGTGGACAAATAAAACTTTCAATGCCAAGAGAAGATGTTTATCCATAAAGTCGACGGTTTTCTAAAGACAGATTGATATAACATCTCAGTATCACCTAGGGGATATTTAGGGTTCGAAATCTAAATTAGTTATCATAGTGTTGATTCATTTGCTTCTAACCTATTTAACTCAAAATATCATACTCTTCAGTATATGAGGAGGAACTGAAGCCTCATTTGCAATCTTAAAGCCAGTGGTAAAGCCAGCAGACATCCAAGTGATCTAATGACACGTTACTGTGCTTCACTAGGAACCCAAAGGGCGAATAATAATAATGCATCCACACTTTTGATACATCTTGATTTCTTCATTATTTTTATTCATTTTTAAGCGATAAAAAAGTAATATCAGCGTTAATGTTTCAACTAACTTATCAGATCATGTGATCTACTTATATTTCTCATATAAAATACCATGTGATACAAAGATGTAGTACTGTGTTAAGTAAAACAATGTGTAGTACTGATCATAACTCTGGTGATCCTTCATTTTCAATAAGTCTTTCTCCAGTTTTTATAACGATTTCAGTTGAGAGTTACCACACAGGGATTCTTTAAATGGTATGGTGGCCGGTTTATATCACTATTGTTATTATTATTCCTTGGGTTGCGAGTGGAACATACGGCGTCAACAGCACATCTCTCATCTCCTCCTCCTCCTCACACGATCTCTTCCATGTCACCCTCACACCAACGACTCAGTCGTCGCTTTCGATTCGGATTCCACTAGAGTGATCGCCTGCATTGAGCACGATTTCATTCGACGGCCTCCTCAACGTATGCCCTACCCATCTCCATTTTATCCTACATATTCGTTGAGCAAACAGCTCTTAGTTGGTTTGTTCCCAGCCAGAGTTTCTTGTTGCTATTTATTTCTGACCTGCCATTTGATCTTCAGTACAGAGCCAGCGAAGGCATTTGTTGATAAAAGTCTGCAGCCACTTGTTGGAAATCCTCTTTGTGACACGCTGTGCAGTTTTCTGACCTATATAGGAGAACTGACTGATCGACTCCACACTTATGTCGAAAATCCAAATCTTGTTATTGATGCTGAGGGGGAGTGCAGAAGATTTTCAAACTGATTTCAGTTTGATGAAAGCGTATTTTACCTTCCTGATTACGACTTCGACATCTTCATCTGTTCTGCCTATGATTGGAAAGATGTTTCCTAGATAAGTGAAGGGGGCGACCTCTGTCAAACCTCTCCTGTTGATGGTGATTGGTGCTGGTTGTTGTCCCTTTTGCTGTTGGTTAGTTATCTTCATCAACCTCGTCTTCTCTATGTTCACCTGGAGTCCTGTAATCACTGCCTGCTTCTTCAGCCAGTTTGTTGGGTTTCACCTGCAAGTCTTCAAGTTTGTGTCACATTAAACATAAATCATCCCCGAACGAAATCCCGGATCCTCTAGAGTCTTCTTATCAGTCCAATGTATTCCTGTCTTTTCACTCCCTGTGTACAATCTAACGTATAATCCAGTCCAACACAATTAAGAATACCGTCGATGGTAATAAGCAGACAGCCTTGTCTTACTGGTTTTTATTCCAGCTCA